TGTAAGGAGAACAGCAAAACGTTAAGCCTGATGCAAACCCAACCGGTATAATTTAACTTGTGATGGAACGTAAGTGAGAGTAGAAGGTAGCTTTAACTCTTCCCAATGGCTAGCACAATGGGTTTGATCGTGGGAGATTACTGCTGTCTCTTTCCCATTTGGGAACCACTGACGATCCCCGTTTCTTTGGACGCATGGTTCTTCCACGGATCACCCCCAACCCCCCAAAGATGCACAGGCTGTCTTAGTTACATACTGAGAAATGTCAGAAAGGCAGTGACTGTTGTGCCTATATGCATGACTTTTACAGGTGAGAACATTTCATATGTCGTATCCCACATCAGGCAGAATGGGGCGCTGCAGTTGAGTTTTGTATGTCCCTAGGTCCTACTGTCTCTCAAAGCATCACAGAATTGAGCTGGAAAGAACTGTAAGAGATCATTTAGTCCAGGAAAATGAAATACAGCCCCCAAAGACTTCACTATTATTATTCAGCAAATAATATTGGATAAACTTATACATAAGAAAACCATGATATTCGTGTCCATATTATGAGCAGTAAAAATAGGATTTATCCCCAGAATAATCATATACAAATTTCCTTCTTTCCTAAATAATATAGGATAAGAAATCTTATACTGAGACAGAATCAAGAATAAATAGGTCATTATCAAAAAAAAACCCTTCACTTCCCTTGCTGTTTTTGTGCCCATGTTTGACTTCCCCTAATACATATTTCATATTTACTTTTACAGAGTTTCATCTCATTCATTTCAAATTCTCATTTTACTCTGTTAAGAACATGCTGAATTTTGTTCTCCACAGTCTGCTGACTCTCCTGCACTGAGGTGATTTGCAAGCTTTTCCCTAGTGCATCGCTGAATTTATTAATAAGTAAAACTTCGTTCAAGAAAAATCCCTGCAGCTCTCACTTGAAATGTCCTCACTATCTCACGCTGAACTTTTATCTGCTGGTTGTTATATTTAAGATGTGTGATTTCATAGACTGCAGTTTTAGGTGTGGACTTCTAGTAAAAAGAGAAAGGAGGGAGGAATGGGGTGAATGCTAGCTAGACCCTTTCATCCATCCATTCCTTGTGTCTGACTTCTGTTTCCTCTCTGCAGCAGTAAAAACTCAAGTGCAGTCTCCCTGAGCTGGACGTGGAGAGTCAGGATGAACCTTTTGTGCCGTGCAGGGCATATATATCTCCCTGTCTGCAGTGTGGGAGAGGGAAGAGAAGACTAGCCCAATATAGGATACATCTGCCCTCTTCCCTTAGTTTGTTTAGGAAAATGTCATGTCAGATGTGCTGCTGTTACAAGGTTGTGAAAAAATGTACTTTTAAACCCAGGATGCAAATTACCGTTTCTCAATAATTTGAAGTTATAGAGCAAGAAAAGTTTTTATGACTTCTAAGCTCTGCTGATCCTTTTTTCTGGGAAGGAGCAACTGAACGGCATGTTGCCTTTTTTAACTTCGAGGAGCATGCTGAAAATGAGAGTGGGTGGAAATAATTTTTATGTTATTTAAAATGTGTTCTTAGATTTGATATAACTAAAGAAAATGTAGGCACCTAAACATGACATTGCAAGTCGCCTGGGACAGGAGTTGTATCTTCCTTTTGGGGAGTGCAAAAGGTAGTGTTTGGGCACTGAACCAATTCAGGTAACTGATTAACTGTACGGTAACTAATATTCACTGACTTAACATTATCTCTTCCCTCTCTCTGGTACGCATATTCAGCAGTGAATTTGATCCAATTATATTAGTGCTCAGATCAGTGGGCCTGAAATTCAGTTCTCAAGTGGAGGGGTAATCATCCATGCAGTGAGACTAAAGGCTTCATAGTTGGGCCCTATGCAAACATCCAAGAAAAATAAATGAAATGAGGTACCTACCCAGGATGGCTGTGCATGGTCTCAGCTACACATTTGACTCGCACTGTGATAGTGAGTGTATTATTACAATTCCTACATGATTGTACGTTGTCCTGTATAATTCATCCATTTCTTGCACAGACCTCCTTCAAGCGGGAATGAGTTTTTCTCTTTGAACAGTTGAGTAGCCATTGAAGCTTTTCTGATTCTTCCCTCCTCTTGCCATTCTGCACAAAGGCATTATATTGCCATTCACTGCTGAGCTGCTGTGCATTCTCCAGGGAGATTTGTTAGGTTGTATGGGTGCAGATTAATATCTGTGGTATCCCTACTCCTCCCAGTACCGGTGTACTGTTTGCTAACTGTGAGGTCAATAACATTTTGTTTTCTATCAAATAACAGCCTGTTTTCTTATGAGAGTCGTAGCAATCTCCGGTTCACCTGTCATGTGGATACAGCTGCAGAGAACATTCATTAGATATATTGCAGTCTGTAGGAGGATTTTTTAATTTTTTATTTTTATTCTTACAACCATTACTATTTCCACTTTTTTGCTCTTTCTGGGTACTTGTATATAAGTGAGATTAGGGAGGGTCAAAGATCAGATATGCTAAGAAGAGGTAGGAAAGGGTCACTATGGTCTCAGAAGCAGTTGGCTAACCATCAAATTAAATTTCTTTTGTCTTTTTTCTAAAATAATTCCAAGGGAAGCTTTAACTCTCCTGTTTTGCAACATTATCAGCTTGATCATAATTTAGTAACTGGATAATGATTCAGCTCTTTAGAGTAACGAGCTGTTCAAAAGCAAGGATCTGACCAGTCGATGTGGAAAAGGAATAATCCCTATCTGCAGTATATTTATATATGTTCATCTGTACAAAAAAGGAAAATAAATAAACACTTGTAAATGCATTTCAGATATCTCAGGAAATATTTGAAAGCTGTGATAATCTTATGATCCTTTCTAACAATTCTCCATGTTTTTCACCTCCTGAGCAAACCCAGCCCTTCCCTCTCCTCCTCGCCCTTTCTCTTTTCCCAATTCCGAATAGAAACTTAACAATAAATGTATTTGAAGCCGGAATACTGATAGTATTGGTAACGCCTGTTACCAAAACACAGGAAGAGGCTGGCAAACCAGGCGCTAAATCCCAGAGAGATGAGGAAGAAAGCCTCTGGAGCCAGACAGTGGAACTGTCCTTCTGGGGCAGAACTCCAAGTCCAATATTCTGTCATAGACAGAAAGCAATACCAGCTTCTTCAGGGGGATGCCAAGGAGAGAGAAATGAGAAATGTCAGCCCTGCCAGTCTTGTCCTTTGTATACTTTCAGCCTTGCAAGGGTCCCCTTTTGTTGCTGGCTTGCCTCTCTATCTACTAGTATGTAAGATGGTCTCACTTGGATAGTGCATCAAGAATAGCCAGGAAGCAGGCATCATGGACAGGCTTATTTTTCACTAAATAATTCCAACTTTTTCTTTAGAGTGTTTGGATTTTATTGCTTTCCTAATTATTCTGTAAGCTTTATGGATCAGGGCTGTTTCTTTCTGTGTGTTTGCAGTGACCCCTGTTCCTGGTGAAATCCCCCTGTCAGTGATTTGAAACCTTGGCTATTAAGGTGAAAGCACCTCTATTCTGCTGGTCACATCTATGCCTACATCAATTAGCTTTTCAGGAAAATAGTGCTGAAAGAACTATACATAACTCATGAGGATGCCAAGGTTTAGAGTGAAATTGCAGCTGCAGGTAAAAAGAGGGAGAGTGGACAGACTGCAGCCAACCAATTAGAAGTTTAATTTTCACTTTATATATGTGGTTTCACATGCGGAATAAGTGGGGTTGGGGGGCAGACTTAATGACCCAAGAGTTCCCTTCTCGCTGCAGCTTCCTACAGAAAGCAGCTATTCATCCACACAAGCTCAGAAAATGGTTTCCTCCTCATCAACTATATGGACATTTCTTCATTAGTGCTCTGATTATGGCCGAGGGGAATGGGCTCCTGGAACCTCCTCAAGGCCTCCTAACAAGCAAGGCTGAGGCACGATTAATATACCCACATGTAATAAGCAGAACTTACTTCAAGGTAGAGAATAAATGGAATGCTGTACTTCAGAGAACATTGCCGTGTTTTGATAAGGCATATTGAAAGTCTTGGCTGACCTTGACAAAAGAAATTACGTGCAGAGGGTCATTTGTGCCATGATCATTTCTCACCTCAATTCTCCTTGTGATTTTAGTAATGTGAAACAAATGAATATGATCACAGCAGTGGTTCTTCACAGTCCCTGAGTACTACACAATAACATTTTGACAGTTTCACAAAACTCACCACCTTCTTTTCTCAAGTATGGAAGACTTGAGAATCTAGCGAAGTAGAACTCAGCTGACCCTGCAACATCCTTTCCAGTTGTCTATCTCTGCTTGTTAGTTTAAAGAAAGCTATAAAATCTGGGTGTTGTTTAAAAGAGTTTATTTATGGTGAAAAACAAGTAACCGTTTTGATAGGATGGCAAGGTTTTAGCACTTCTAGAGCTGCCTGGAGGTTATTTCCAATAGTCCAGGAAGTTATGTTAGCTTTTAAGACTTTTCCATCAGTATTCAAGTCTATTAAACCTGTGAGCAGTATGGAAGATGAATACTAGTGATACATGACTACAGATCAACAGGGAAACGATTTAAGGGGTTCCAGCCGTAAATTAAGTTATAAAGCATCATATGATGGACACACTTAATTTGAAGTGATACATGCTGGATGATCTATTCTAATGTTGCATAACTTTTAAGAATTGCTATTTTACCTGTACAATTGCATATTGCCTCAGGGGGAAAAAAAAAGGACCTGCTAGATTGAGCATAAATTGGAAGAGATGCATTGAAATCAAGAAATTATTCTAATATTGACCATCCATCTTTTAAATAGGCTGGAAGTAGAAATGTAAACTTGAATACTAGCATCCTAGTCATTATCATAATCTCAGAGTACATCAAGTTTTTTGGCACTGCTGTAAGCGGATCTGGGGCTAGGAACATGTAGGATAACTGTTAAACTTCCTTCTCATAACTTGCTTAGAGAACAAAGTACTGCCTCCTTACTGATCTTTTCTTTATTTCATTGTTGTTTCAGGTTGGGTTTCCCCATGATGATTGTGTCCTGTACCGTCGGGATGTGCTATCTCCTTGTTGCTCATGTTGTAGTAGGTTGGAACTCTTAGTAATTTAAACTTTTAAGGCCCAAAGAAACTTTCCATTTCATTTAGTGTATATCTCAGAACTCTTAAGAAGATGCATAGGAGGAAAAAGGTGCAAAACCCCCAACATATAGTATCAATCAAAAAGATTGCTAGTGTCCGTTTTGGTCAATCTTAACCTTGTGTTCTGTGAATAACCTGCAGAACTAGATAATGAAAATTAAAAGGACCATATATTTAATTATGAATAACACTATCGAGCAGATGAAAACGCACCATCACAAGGGAATATGTTGTGCCCGAAAGTTTGTACTGCCACAATTTGAGTATAGTCACAGATGAAAAACTCATTCACAATAGCAGATGTTCAGTAATTTCTTCCACGGCTTCATTTGTCTTTGTCATGTATTTAGCTATTTGTATTAAAGTAACTAATATTCACGTTGTAATAATAGACAATTAAGCAGACAGTCTGTACACTATGAAGGATGTATCATTATCTATGTTTAAAAATAAACACATCTCCTGAGAATGTACTCTGGAAGAAATTATTATTTTGGAACTGGGATTGCATTCTATGGAGGTTTTGTTTTTCCTTTTGAAGCTTCTAATCAGTGTTAAGCTGCTTTTTTTTTCCTAATATAAACTAACGCCCCTTTCCCTAGGAAATCCTGGACATAAAATTTGAGAAAGCACTGGACATTTTTCATTTAATTATTAATTCAGTTTTGTGATGGAATACTGTAAATCTTTTAATAGGTTAATACGCTATATGGAAGAGTGAAATCATACTTTGGCTTTGATTTTGTTCTCACTGATAATAATGTGTTAAACCATACATATTGTTTTGTATAATTAGATGCCACAACAGGTCAGGCTTCTCATTATGAATATTAAGGCCTGTGAGGGAGTCAGGATTTCAATCCTCATCTTCAAATAAATAAATGTGTTTGTGGGATAGGCTTAAATTGTAGTGGGTCTGTCTGATCTTGAGTGACAGAAACGCAACGTCAAAGGAGGGTACCCAGGTGAACAGGACTGAAATACTGTGAGTGGCAGAGAGGAGCAAACGCTGCTTCTCACCTGCACTTGCGCCTTGAGGTCACCCGGTGAGTGAGTGGAAAACAGTTGTCTCTCTCACAGAGAGCATAAGGTTAATTGTACGTCCCATTTTAGTCACCCACGATTGTATCCTTTATATATATATATATATATATATATATATATATATATATATATATATATATATGGGTGGGGGGAGGGGAGCCCCCAGGGAGGGCAGGACGGGGAGGAGCCCCACCGACCACTTCCTCTTCCTCTGAAATTCAAACAAACAAACACACTCTAAATCACAACGAAACAAAACACCAGGGCCCGAAGCTCAGTCCCTCGGACAAATTTTGTCTGGAGTTGAATTTGGCCTGTCTCCCTCTCTCAGCGCGCAGGCTTTTTCTTCGTAAGAGCAGTTCACGCTGCCGTAACGGGAACTTTCTCACAATTAAAGACACATTTTTATGCTAATCAGTTTAACATTGATCCCTGGTTAAAAAAAATCACAATTTTTTTATAGCCTTCAACATTTCTTGTATCTAAGCAATCCTGGCATGGCCACTGGTTGTACAAGGACTGCTGTATTAAGCCCTGGCGAGTGCAGAATGACGGCACCTCAGAAAGACGTTTGTTCTTAACTGTTGTTTGGAGTATTTTTGCTTTTTTTCACTCGCCAAATTTAAGGCTGCATTTCTTTTTCTGTTCCATTAAAACACTGTCAGCACATAGGAGTATGAGGAGTAGGAGCAGGTGCATAGCTACATAGCAGTACATAGGAGTAGGAGATTCTGGGACCTCAACATAATTTACAAAATCTTTTTTTATTAATTTTTAAGGGATTAAAAAAATAAACAAAACCTAATCTTGCTTCTTGGATCCTGAAACGCCGTGCCACCCAATAACGTGACCACCGTAGTTCGCATGAAGATGCATGTCTGCATTTACAGCTTGCTGGAAGAAGGAAGACAGAAGCGTAGCAATTAGTTTCCGCTCACTCATTTTGCTCGGTTCTCTGGAACAGTTTGGTATAACGGAGATCTCACTGGCTGCAGAAACAATATATCGACAGGACTCAAATGAGATTTTCTTTCTCTTTCTTTTCTTCTTCTCTTGTCCTGTCAAGAGAAGGCGAGTAGTGCGCAGGGGGTACACAATCATATTCATCATGCTTTTAGGCAACTAAACTTAAGGCTAAATTCATTCTGCTTCTAGGAAAATTCTTTATGGTATACAGTTCCTGAGGATTTCCTTCAGATAAACTGGTTTTCCTTCCTTAAACAACCTTCTTGCTTCATTTGCCCAGCGAAGAAGTGCTTACTGAGAGCTCATTTGACAAAGCAAATGGTAAAAAGAAGATAAACTTGTTTGTTTGCACAAGGCTTTATGTGAGTGTAATCTAATGTTCAATAACCAGAGAAAGAACAGTGATGAACATGTTTTTCTGGCCTCTTGCTGTTGTTTCTCACATTAGCAGACAATCTCCTAAAATGAAAATTACCCAGGTCCTTCAGATCATTTCAGGGTAATGAAGTATATTTTTCATTGACTTCTCTTATAGTCATCAACGTAATCTGCACATCAGAATGGCACAAGTTACAGCGACTACATGCTTGACGAAAGTAGTGCATGGAATCCCAGAAATGGAGTGATTTTGAAGAGCGGCTAGAATTAGTTTTTCAATGAAATTCACTCAAAGGTTGAACAAAATGTTGGTTTAGTAACAAATTATGTAAATATTTATAATCATTAGCATGCTTGGGACTGATTTCAAAGGACTGGATTCTCATTTTTACTAACATCTCTTTAGGCTACTTGGTGGTTTTCGCTGTAAGCCATTGAGTGAATATAAATGTGTGCCTACTTTGTATCCATTTTACACCTTTCTGAACGGTGTAACATGCAGTAGGACAAAAATATGTGAAATATCATTACAGGGCAGTGCAAACAAAGTCTAGTTAAAGAAACCATCTTTACTAGATAGGCAGGGCAGTTACTGGACGCAAGGAAAGAAACAGGGGCATAATATAACTCCGCCAAATACTGACCATTCCAGAAAAGATAAAACATAGGACCGGCTTTACCATGGCAGGCCAAAGGTCTGCCTAGCCCAGTATCTGTCTCTGACAGTGGTGCAGAGTGGCTGTTAAGGAAGAACATAAGAGCAGGGCCAATGTGAAGTGATATTTTCCCATAATCCTGTCCCAAGCCTCAGAGGCTTTTGTGACTCAGAGCTTACATGAATGAAAGGCAGCATCTTCATATTTAACTGCACCTGATGGATTGTCCTTCCCACACATTTAGCAAGCCACTTGCTGAACCTGTGTAAATTCAACATCTGTTACAATGAGTTTCACAGATAATACACTGGGGGAAAAAAAAAAGTCCTGTTGTTTTTTTTTGGACTTGTCCCTTGCTAATTTCATTTCTATGACACCTCTCCATCCCTCCCCGCCCCCAGCCTTTCCAAAGTCTTTTTTTTTGGAAGCGATAACAAATAATCATCCCCTGCTTGCTTTTTCTAACTCACGATTTTACCAAATCAACTTTACCAAAGCCAGTTTCCAGTCTGAAGATCACAGTCTATTTCCTCATTTCTCATGTGGAAATGCTTTCATATCTTTCCTCAACACTTCTTTGTACCTTCTGTACCATTTCATGTTCTGCTGTAGTTTCTCTGAATTGAAAGGACGCGTACTAAAAACACTAGCCAAGACACAAATACACCAGAGATTTATAGAGTGGTTTGGTGATTTCTTCTGCTTTTCCGTTCCTTTCCTAATGATTGTTAACATCTGATTCAGTTTTTGGGCTGCTACTAACAAATAAACTGAGGAATAAATTTTCATAGAAGAAACTATTATAATTACAAGATTCATTTTCTCAGTGATAATTATTAGCCCACATTATTTTATGTGTAAAGTTGGGGTTGTATTTTTTTAATCCATTTGCATCACTTTACAGCTGTCCACAGTGAATCCTCTTTGCTCCTGTCAGGGTTTTCTGAAATTCTTCACTTTTAACCCTTGTTGTTGATACCCTGAATAACTTGCTAGCAGGCCTGAGGTGAGGCTGAAAAGATAATTCTCATTCCTATGAAAATATTTGAATTAATCTGTAGGATTTAGAAAAAACAATTGTCTTGAAAAAGATATAATGATTTATTCTTCAGGGCATAAGCCAACTTTAAATCATGTCTGTAAAAGGAAACTCGCCTTGTTGAATGGGTTATTCCACAGCTGCTCATGAAAGCTTATTTTAGACCTCACTAAAGCTTCTTATACTATGTCTTTGTAAACCAGGAAACTCAGCGAGCGAAGTTACTGACTGATGTAGTCCAATAAAGCAATTCTAGTTTTCTCAACAAAAGTCAAAATAAAATGTGTTGTTTCTAAGAAATGAAATTTGAAAGGTATAGTTAGAAATGAAAATTGTTTAACTACCTAGAAAGAGGAAGGTCTCAGCTGGGAGCTCAAATATTATTTGCAAAATATTTGCAAATAACATCTTCAAACAAATTGCGCTGCAGACTTCCTCCAGTGAATCAGCACGATTTTATATTTAGTATATGGGAATAGGATCAAAAAGAAAGAGCTTCAGTTCCTGCTGTATTGCTAGCTTGGTATGTAACTTCTCATAGTCAATTTACTTCTTAATGTATTTAAAAATATATATTTTCTATATGGATACTTTGAACTTTGCAGGGATACTCGATTCTGTTGTTTCAAACAGCACAGAATTAGTTATCTGCAAACACTATCTATTATTTTAAAGACAGTAACAAAAAATGTGGAGCCATAGCAGCATAACACCTATCAAGTGGTTAGTCCACAAGCTTTCCCCCCCCTGCCCCCGTTAAAGAATTTATAGGTTCCAAATGGTAGAAAATCAGTGGCACCTGAAACAGACACAAAATAAATATGCTAAGCATAAGCTTCAGTGTTTGTTATAATGGGATGCTAAGAAAGTGATTGGGAATCAAGCCAGAAAAAATAATGGAATAGCTGAAGCATTAAATTAATACTTCTGAAGTGAATTTACAATAGGAAATGCCAGCAATTCAGAATAAGTGCTAACCACCTCAGATGAAGTCAGCATAAGAAAATCTGAGTTATTTATTAAGGGCAACAGGAAATCAACAACTATTGGAGGTCTGTTGAGGGAAGGATTAAAATCTTACTCCGTAGATGCACTAGAGAAAGAGGATGAGAGAAAAAATCTTTTCTCACACATTTCTTATCAGTGGAGAATATTATAGGATTAGCAAGTTGTTAGTGCTACTCGAAATAATAGGAAGCAAGAGAGGTTTTGCACTGTTTTTAAAGTTATTCACATGCTATTGTTCTTTTTCTAGGTTGCTATTGCAACTTTGAAAAGCAGCAGTGATTTCTTAGCAGTAGTTTCAACTAGCACTTTGCCTAATGAATCAGTAATGGAAAGAAAGCCCTCTCAAGATGTGGTCTTGGCCATCATTACT